GCATTTTTGAAGTAATGGATGTAATGGATATGGTAGATTTCTTGTAAAATATCTCTCAGATAGTAAGATATGAAATGGACCGCTAATTATCATATTAAATCAAGAAATACTTCATAAATCACATGGTTAGGTGCTAAAACCTATTTATTCGTTTGGCCTCAAACACAAATGTGTGACCTAGTTACAAATTCGACCAATCAAACAGGTTTTGTGGCCTGCTCGAAACATGGGCAAACCTAATACCTCACGGAAACATTGAAACTATCAGCTACATCCCTGAAGATGGCTGTTTGATATCCAGCAAACCTTAAAAGTTTACAGGTTTCTTTATACGGAGTTAGTTTTCTGTAGGGCGCTGCATTATATTTGACATGGTTACTACCACGGAATTTCACTGAATTTTTTTCTGCGACTGTCTTGCTCACTCGAATATGTTACAAAAAATCGTTGCTGTTGAATTGTGGCACTGTTTCCTCCACAAAATTCAGGTTTTTAGGTTGCATTCTCTCGTCCGAAGAAAATTCGGATATTCCCGCGTGTTCGCTGCTTATTATATAGTCAACGCCAACAAAGTGGCGTGCACGCCATCAAGGTGGGTGTGTTGAAAAATTTACATTGTTGCCAAACTTTTTGTAAAATAATAAAATTTATTATTTACATATCTAGGTTTATAAGCAATATTAACCTCAAATGAGAACAAAAATAATAGTATAATAAAATTATAGATCTGTACTTGCATAATCATTAAGTATGACAATTATTGATCAGATGACACTATGAAACTACCATATTTAATTGATAGCTTAAAGGTACTGAATAAAAATCCAAATGGGGTCCTCCAAATTTTATGCATGGTATTTATTTTACAGAATTCATACAGAAAAATACATTCTAAAATTAGGTAAGCTACTGGTGTAAGCTTTTCTGTACAATAAAGTTAGTCGGAGTTTCTTTCTTCAGCGCTGTCTGAATCTGAATCTTCATCACTCTCAAAGTTGATTATTGAAGGTTCGATGTCTGGTCGATCAAAAATTCGTTCTCTTTCATACCATTTAAAAATTTCTTGCTCAGTATGTCGAACACTATTTTTCCACATGTCTGGGGTAACCGTTTGTAGAGCCTCGTTCCACATATCCAAACAGTCTTTTTCACTGTTACCATCTCTACCAATATGTCTGTTATAGTAACCTTTTGCTATGCCCCAAATTAACTCAATAGGGTTAAATATACAATGGTAAGGAGGCAGACGAAGAACTTTGTGCCCATGTTGTTCCGCCAATTCATCAATCACGTATATTTTAGGTGGTTTGTTTCTAAAAAAGCAGTTATTTTAAGAATAGGAATAAACAAAAGAAATATAAACTGTCGACCAAAATATATATAATTAAGAAGCATTATGTACCGAGCAACAATACTCAATAGCTCTGTTTTAAACATTGTGTTTAAAAATGGTATGTTTTGATTTGTCAACCAGTCTTGGATATTTTTTTGTCCATGCATTGTTGGGCACTTTGTTCAATATCATGCTGTGATAAGGGGCGTTATCCAGTATAATCATAGATGGACTCTCCAATTTTTCTAATAACTGATGTTGAAACGATTTCAAAAAATTGTCCTGGTTCATCTCTCCATGGTAATCGCTCAATTTTGTTTTCGAAGAAAATATCGCTTCACTACCCTCAATAAACCCATTTTCATTTCCAGCATGTAATATAATGTATCTAAAATATATTAGTTTTAAATTTTATAGTGCAAATTGTGTAAAAGTACATACCTTTTACCATATGTTTTAATAGCTTTCACGCTTTTTTTGGTTTCCATTTTGCCAAGAGCGACCTATGGTCCCATTTTGGAATATCCAAGTTTCATCGAGGAAGACAAACTGGTATAAGGCCTCAACCTTGGCTTGATTGTATTGCCTTAGAAATTCCACCCTTTTCAAAGCTATACTTGGTAGTTCCATGAGCCCTCGTCGCGGATTGTCCTTAAGCCACTTAAATCCAAGATCTCTAAGCAACCGCCTTAAAGACGTGGCACTACCATCAAATAATGCCCTATCTCTTAATCGAGACCATAAAGTTTGTATCGTAACTTGTTCTTCTGAAACCATGTGTAATATGACATTATAATTTAGTTAACAAATTAATGCAAATTTCTGATAAGTTATTATAATAAGATCTTACTTTTGTGATACATATTATAGATCACTTCTCGAATGGCACTTGTATCCAATGTCGCTGTGTTGGTTACACGTTTAATATAACTCCGCTTTTTCTTGGGCGATTCTAAATTTGCATCACTTTTCACACCCTCGGAAATACAACTAACTGTCCTTAAACTAATTTTTAAAGCAGCAGCAACACGCTACAAAAAATGAAATAAAATTTCACTATTATTAATATACATTACATATAATTATTAGTAACCTACCTCTTGAACAGCATTTAAAGGCAACAAAGGCCCGTTGTTGTCCCTTTCTTGCTCAAAGTAGTGCATTAACGAGGCCACGAGTTCCTTACACCGACTATTTAACTGTTTGGGCATCTTTATATACCAAAATTGCCTTTATCTACTCGTAAAATGAATAATTTTGTTTTGAAACAAACAGTTGTTGATTTACAGTATGCGGGGCCAAAGGATTTATAAAGATTTGAAATGCCACAAATTGATTCAGTGTCAAAATTAATACAAATGTCAGTTCCCAGTTTAAATAAGTTTCAAGGTGACAATGTGTCAACGCTGCGAAATCGGTTTAGTGCGTTTACATGTCGATAAGTGATTGGAGCGTTTGCAAAACATTTTATTTCGCATAATGCGTCTAAATTTATCAGAAAGCAACTTATGTGATATTTTAATAACAATGTTTATATGACTATTAACCATAATAAGAGAGTAATGACCATTTTACAAACCTAGGCATTAGGTCGGGGAATTTTTATCGTGATGACGTGCACGCCACTTTGTTTGGCGTTGACTATATCGCTCATAGTTTTTTTACTTCGAAGCAGCCGCGCAGGCAAAGCCTGAATGCCAGGGCAGCGAGACTGCTATGAGGAGCTTAAAGAAACTTTGTTAATCCGATGGATGTACGAAGATCGACACCTTTAGGATGAGAGGCCAAAGTGAGGCTAGTCTATCTGACAGGCCATTGCGCGGCGGCATCGTCGTGGAGAGGTTTTAGGAGCCGACGGCCCACCGGTGCGAAAGTGTCCCCAGACTGTCAGTTAGAGAAGAGTCATCGATCCGTAAATGTCTTTTGCGAAGCAGTATTAGTCTTCAAGATAGTTTCGACTCATTCTGATAGCTGTCACTGTCACTGATTGAGTGGTGCTCTCTGAACTGTCAGAAGGTTCTGTACGAACAGCGGATTAGCTGTCGGCAAACACTCAGAAACTGTACGAACAGGTAACATCTCTCTAATTCTGATTTTGGGAGTCATCGACAAGTTATCGACTACTGTACGAACAAACCAATAGTCATCTAACGGGCCTTTGAACCAACAGGCAACCAGTTACACAAACTTTTCTTGATTGCCGATCGCTAGCGCTAAGCAGCGTCAAGCGCGATTAGTATTTGGATGGATAACCGCTTCGAAACACCACTTATTGTTTGTCTTCTTTTTTGTTAAGAAGGATCTTCAAATTTAAAGACTCCGCATAAAGTGTCGCTCACGTAGTAGAAATGAGATATACACGTTTTCTAACAATCTCAAAAAATGTACACTTTTGTTTTCTGTTTTCACCAGTTACGAGTTCAATGAATAATCACTTTCTGATATATTGGCTATGACAGTATAACTTCATTCTACTCGTTGCAAGTACATCACCAGCGCACATTTTTGGAATTTTCTACTTCAAAGACATAGATCGGCTTGAAGTTGCGCATGTTTGAGCGCGTCTAGTAGTCCTTAAACCAATATATTTTGTGACACCAACGCCTTCTGTATGCGAGTCCAGGAACTTTTCAACTCACCTAGTATAACAAAAACTACATACGGACAAGTCACAACAATGCTGATTGTTCCAGCGTTCATTGTCAGCCGCGCACCGCAAAAAAAGCATTTGAAAGTCTAGTCGGAGCGTAATTGCGCGTCTGGGCCGAAGCGTAACTGGGCGTTGATAAGGTGTTAAATTAAAATTTGCCATAAATTATAGACCGGTGCCTGTGCACCGTCTCTCTCGGACGCTTGCATTTGTTAGACGCTGACTTGTTGGATGGAATCCCGAGATGCCCACACGCGGTTTCGCGACCTTAGCACGGAAGGTGTGCCTGCCATTTGAGGCAGGTGCACATGTGACAGTTACGTAGAAGATACAAGTTTAACAAATGCATTGACAAATAACCAGTTTCTTAGATCCCTTGGGCTGAATATAGTATGTTAATCTTAAAATTGTTGTAAACCGTTAAAATAATAATAAATAAAACTAAGGTAAGGTGAGGCAAGTGCTGCCCAAAAAATTAAAAGTTCAAAATCGAGATCACAGAAAAAATACTTAAAATGTTTTATGGATGATGCATTTTAACCAGAGAGTAGCCTATAGTGTTCTCTACAAAACTGAATATTTTAGATTGAATTAGAAAATTTACAATTTACCAAAAATGTTGTTTTTTTATTAGGATGACAATTGCTGCTCTTGCCCCATACAGTCGGGGCAAGAGCGTAAAATCCATTACTGTAGTTAGTTTTGCTAAGAAATCAAAACGAGGCAAGAGCAATCATCTTTATATTATGGATAATTGGTTAGAAACGAAAAATAAATGTTATCCTGGTCAGAAGTTGAGTGATGATCTTAGAAAGGGACTGATACCTTTTTGAAATGATACAAAAATACATTATCGATGCATAACACTCTTGTTTTTATTTAAGTAATAAGAATTTATCGTCACTTATGTATTTAAATTGCCAAAGTAACAAACAGTTTTACATTAAGTATAATTTTTCATACATCTTTTTATTTTACAAAGTTATACATCTTAAAAGGTTACAAGTCTTAAAGAAAATGAAAAACGCAAACACAAATTCTATTCTGTTCCGAGTAAGTATATATTTTATTTATACTTCGGATACCTGAACTTCATTATAAAATATATATTTCTGAAAACTGCTATGTGGAACAAGCTTAGGTTGTTCTAATTTAAGTAAAATATCTGACAATGCAACAGAACATTTGTCGTTCTCATCCAAACGATATTCACATTTATTTTGCAATTTTCTTAAACAGGTTACTTCTACTTCGTCGTCTAAAACCTTTGTTACAAGACAAACGTATTTATAAGTTTTCTTCTTACCAAAAAAGTTTGCTAAAATAAAGTCACCGTTCATAAGTTTTAAAATTTCATTTTTATTGGTGCCTTGTATTTTTTTATTGAATATGTTTTTCCTTTTGAGGTTAAAGTGAACATCTTCTTTTCACTTGCTTTCTTCTCAGATGACCCAATTTGTCCGTTCGCCCTCTGTCTTAATATATTAAAGATAGAATGTATCACGTTTGTAATCTGAGCTGCTAAGTTGATGTTTTCATTACCTGGGTCTAGCTCTTTAGGTAGAAGTATCTTTAATTTTTCGTAAAAATAAATGATATATTTCAGGCACTTTACTTTCTTTTCGGTCTCCGGTTGTATCCTTGACTTCATGGCAGAAGAAATACTCGTCCCATCATCTGGATCAACAATTTCATCTCGTGCTCTCTTTGTTTTAGTCGCAGCGGGTTGGTCAGTTTCCATGGTGGAGGTCGAAGCCATTTTTGTTGTTCAGGGATAAATTCAAAGTTGGTAAAGAGTCCGATTCTTTTCGATTCTTTTTTACTAAATTTTCTTTTTTTGTTTCTTGAACATTTTTTTGTGTTATGATTTCTGCTCCCGCACAAAGTCTTTTCTTTGATTGTTTTACAGGGATATAGTCGCGTTTTACAGATTTAAGTAATAGGTCGTCAAAACTAATAGAGGTCTCTGGCAAAGAACCGTTTTCCTGTCCACAGATTGCAAGCGAAGTAGATTATTCAAGCTCCGTATGCAAGATCTGAATCGCTGGTGGGCCGGCTTGATTGGGAATTGTGTCGATATGCATAGAAGTGCCTTGACGGAGTTGTTATTCCTTCCACTTTGTAAATGACACTGGATCAAATAAATCTGTCGCTACAACATTCCGATTGAGCGGGTAAATCCCAGCTTTAACAAAACCACTTCGAAGTATTTCAGGATTTGTTTCTCTCCATATATCTCCAATAAAAATACTCTTCGGCATCTTAATACCCACGTTCTTACGCTGCCATTCTACTAGTTTAGCATCCCATTGAGTTTTTAGGGATTTGAAAACACTTAAATCAAGTGGTTGTAAAATATGACTGGTATGTGGGGGAAGTTTTAAAATTGTTATCTGGTTGTCGATAGCAATTCTAACAACTTCTACACTTAAATGAGTCGCATGACCATCGTAAATTACTAAGTCTGGTCTTTCTGGAGGCAAACACTTAACGAAACTTTTTTCAAAATAGTTTTTAAAAACTGTGCTTTCCATCCATCCGTTGGCGGTTGCTGCATATGTCATTTCGGGAAACTCGCTACCAGAGGGTGCAAGCCACTGATCCCAGACGTGCTTGCCCTTGAAAATTATTAAGGTAGGCGCCTTTTCTCCGCTTGCGCTGCAGCACATTAAGACAGTGGTATTCTGGTTTCCAGGCCGACTTGTTGTCCGTGTAGCTGGCAGTCCCCGTTGCCCAACGATTTTCGTTTTTGAAGGGTCTGAGCAAAAACTGCTCTCATCTAAGTTCCATATCTGAGATGGTTTATCCTCTAATCCAAGTTCTTTGATTGTATTTTCTAATAAATCGAAATACTGGTAGACTAAAAACGGATCAACATTCTTTTTTCGGGCAAATTCGACGCTTTGAGGTGTTTTAATAGAAAGCTTGTGACGACGTTTAAAATTTAAAAACCAGTCTTCACCTGGTTTGTCATTTTTAAACTGCGTTTTAATTTTATTCGTTTTATAGACTGCACTTGCCCCTTTAAAATAGGCCGCTCTAGCCCCTGTACAAAAAAATCACAGGGCAAGTGCAACTTGTTTTATTGAAAATAAAAGCAAAAATATTGTTATCACTAGGAAAATGATAGAACAATAAGTGTAGTTACCATAAATCAAAACTGTAACTCAAAAGATGGCCTTGATATTGACGGGTGTATTAAACGTAATCTACTTATTGCTGGACAATAATGGCGAATACAATTTCGCGTGTTTGTCATGAACATAATACCGGTCGCAGATCTCTTCTGTTATTTTACAAAGTTGAGATGAATTGGGTAGATGAACGATCCATAGATGGTAGCACAACTGACTGATATCCGGGAAATTTAAACGCAAAAGCTGCACTTGCCCCGTAAATGCTCTTACCCCACCTTACCTTACCTGGAATTTCATTATTTAGGCGGCGAACCGCCTGGATGCTGGTTATCGAGTGGATCCCAAGCTGTCTTCCCCTCTTCCCCGTCGACGCACCCGAAAGGGTACAAGATCCTCTTTTCCTGCTTTTCCTTCCATAAAGAAAACTTATACCAAATATAAGCAACTTCGAAGCAATAAAACCAAAAAAAGCACGTTCGCTCTTGAAGGGATGGATAACAAAATATTGAAATGTCGAATAACCCTCAAAGTTTATTAATAAATAAAAATGAAAAACATATTAATCATATTTTTATTGCATATTATTGTAAATCACACTTAAATATTGACTTATTAACATGTCACAAATATTAATTGTGCACGTTTTAATATTTTACGGTAATTAAAGGGAACTTGGGCACAGCAAACAAGGATAATCGAATTTCCCATTTTACATCCAAACCATGAACCTGCTATCTTATTATTTTTCATTTTTATTCGTTAAACTTTCATCAGTAATTGGATATCCCATGTCCTTACTTGACTACTATACCGCAAAACATATTTTTTCAATGAAGAAATTGACTTTGCAGGTATTGTGCGTGTAATTCCGTTTTTGTAATCTCCACGAAAAGCTTTTTAAGTGATTAGCGTATACGAGTATTTGGAGGGTTTTCTCCCATAAAAATGAGAAGGATTGAGTTTGAGGTTGGTGAGCTATAGTGGAATTGAATAGTAAATGCCATTGCCATTTTAAACAGAACCCATGTTGTATCAGTTGTTAGTATTATGTCATTGAAAAAATTACCGAGATAAGACAATCGGGTGCATAGCATTAATTTTTCATTTTATTGTATCATGTATTGCTCTGTTTTCCTGCGAAATAATAATAAATTGACTTACAGGGCGTTTCACTTATAAAATACAAGGAAATAAACTGAATCCGACCCTGGAATTTTGAGTTCCCAAAACGTCTTTAGTCCAATGTTAAGCATTATTTTGTGCAATGCTGATAAAACCAAAATGATAATAACCCTCGTAATTTTGAGTTTTGTGTCACATACTATAAACGGCTAATAATAAGATGATTGAGTAAACATTTTTATCTAAAAGAACAAATAAGCGCATTCAATCTATTTTGCTAATTAATTAGCACGATTTACTGGATTTTTTGTACATAGTCAAACTTTTTAATATTCAGCTCAAATGTTGATTTTGATGAAAAACAAGGAAGCGAAAAAATCGATTCCGGCTTTGGATTATTCAATCGTCGATCTAGCTTTACGTTGTTTCTAAGTAATTTTGTTGTTGTACAAAATTTCTTCAAACTCTGTTCAACAGTGCCAGTGATATGTAAAGATTTGGCGTGTTTAGATAAATCACCGTATACGTATACCCTGTATATCCGTAAAAACTGAACTTAGAACTTTTTTATTTTCTGATATGAAAGGTCTTGGTCCATACTATCTGGCATTTCACTATGTCCGTTCAAATACGGAACACCCTGTATTGTTTTCAAATTGCTGCCTTTCTACTTCCGAATGTGTTCAGTGCCAATCGTTGGACTTTGTTTCCAATTACGTTTTTGGCGACGTTATATTAGCCATGTGCAAATTTACTGCAATCTGTCCTTTCAAAATTTTTGTATAGCATCGTTTAACTGGGTCTAGCCGCCATTTTGGGTTCCCAAATTGATTGTTTCCTAAAAACTGATATAATCACCTTTTTAATTTTGAATCGATGCATTCTTTATTAATGATGGTTAGGAGAGTTTAATCGCATCGTACTTGATTGAAATTGTGATACAATTCTTTGTAGTGTGTCCTGATGAAGAAAATAAACAATTTTGACAGCTCGACCTGGCCTGAATTTCGTTTTTATGTTTTACCCTTGATTTTACTGATGTCGCCAGCTTTTTAGGGTCTTCTTCTGGCCTAAGCGCAAGAGCGAGATGTATAGAAAAACCAGCTCCTTGTCTTGGACCCTGTGTCTCCTTATCTTTGCGTATAATCCAACACATCATACCATTATTAACACTTACCTTACACGGCATACGGCATACAACATCAGTAATAAATTATAAGAAGATATTATTATAAGCGAACGCTGACTACTACGCACAGCCAGAAGTGAGTTTGTGCATTTATCTAGTGGAGGCTTGTCATGATAAGGTAAAGTTATTACGTGGAAGTGATAAAGCATCACCGGTTAAGTTCAACCGGATTTATATCAATGCATACTGTAAAGCTTATTTCAATAATAATAGTGTTCTTTGATGTAACAAGTAGCTTCCGTAGATTTGAGGGGTGATGGTACACTTAACATGACCTCGTATTTGGGGGTTATAGAAGGTTTAGTGGGTATATCAAAATTTGTTTAAAAAAAAAACATTTTCCAGCAATACCTTTACGTCAAATGTCAACACAAAACAAGTGACCACAGGAGATTATCGATTATCGATCACAGGACGGAATGGATGTGAATTTTGACAGCGCTGCGTTGCCATATTTTGCCACTTGAGAGGTGTATAGTGTATACGCTAGAGCTAAAAAGTTTTATGTTAATGAAAATAAAAGAGTTAAAAAGGTATATTTGCTAAGAGTGAGTGAATTAATAATCTAAAATAGAACCTTGTAGAAATAATAGGGAAAAAACGACATATATAATTGTGAAAAATTAACAAAAATAGGTCAATGAATAAACTCAAAGAATTTTTTCTGGAAGAACATAATAAATAATCAAAAACTAATAAACAAAAACTGTAACCAAGACAGTATTTTCTAAAACAACATAATAAAGGTCAAATAAATTAAAAATATAATTCTGGCAATACATAAAAAATAGAGAAATAAACTAAAACAGTATTTGCTGTAAAAATTATAAAAAAATATAAAACAAATTGAAACTAATATTTTGCTGCAACTTGCCAGGTTTTTGAAATCATATATCGTAAATGGTCAAACACATAAATTGGTGTATATATTCCGGAAGGTACCTCCAGCCTACAGAGGTACATTTTCAGTCTTGACCAGTACCCCCCAATGTGATTTATACCGACATCTGTTACGGGGTCTTCAAAATGGTTAGTTAGTATGGTTTACGGTCTTATGGATGTAGGGAGAAACTCTCCTTAAACTGTCCCAACCTCTGTATGTCTATTTTTCATTTTTACAGATTTATCTCTGGTTTTGTTTATTGCTCATTATGTTGTTCCATAGAATACTGTTTTAGGGCATTTATTAAAACACTGATTTTGTTACAAGATACTGCTTTAGATATACACCCTTTAATTCTTTTACTTTCATTATCACAAAACTTTTTAGCTAGAGCGCACATGTTACTGTTTCAATTCACAGTCAACTATGATGTGACTATACACCTCTTAGCGAAATATGGCAACGCAACGCTGTCAAAATTCTCATCCATTCCATCATGTGATCGTTAATCGAACTCCTGTATCCTATTTTCCTATTGTTGGAAAACGGTATTTTGCAAAATCAAATTTCCATATAAAAGGTGATCTATCCAAGAATTTTTTACACGTTGAACCTGCAATAAAGCCTGAATACGTAGTTATGGTATGTGTACCATCAACGATGTTCTGTTATTCGTGAGTTTTTTTTTCTTAGAAAAATGGTTTTATTCTATACCCAATAAATACTCGATTTCTCCACAAACTGGACCCACCACACCTTTCCAGAATCACGATTACCTTGGGAAAAAAATACGTGAATGGATTAATGGATTTCGGCGTCAGTATGCCAGTATCGAACCTTAATGTTGTTGTCACTGAGTTCGAACCAACCTCTTTCTCTTTTAAGGTAATTTCTTGGTCATTTCCAGGTGAAATTCACAAAAGTCTAATAAGAAAGTCTAAGCTACCTGTGATATAGGATTATGGGGTCGCCGAGTTTGAACCGAGAGTCAGTTAGTCCCTTTAAACTCATTTAGACCATTTCAGGGTCACTTTGAAGGCATATTGAAAAGGATTTCAACTATTCATTCTTTAGTTTTGTTGTATCTGAGTCCGAATCACAGGCATTGTTTTTTGTGCAACTGAGCCCAGTTTTGACCACTATTTTTATTCTTGAAAACCATAACTGAAAAAATCGGATAAATAATGTGTCCCTCAAATAAGATGTAGACAAATCAGTCAGTCAGTGTGGTATTATTGACAAAAAACATCTTATATCAACTTGCTGGTCACACTTTTATCAACAGCAGCTCACGTGCTTTCAACACTGCGGCTTCATGAAATCACTCCAAGAACTCGCTATAAGGTAGTAGTTCAGTCAACTACAAACTGACCAGCAACGGCAGTGTCAGTATATGGCCGGATTGCCGTCGCTTGGTGTGAACGCTTATATTTGAATATATTATGTTCCCTGTCTACTTGCCGTCCGGTGGCGGTCGCTTATTGATAGCGGTAATAACGAAAGCTAAAAGTTCACCTTTAAGCTACTTCAAGGTCATATCAGTGTAAATTTGTATAAACGTTGATTGTGCATTTTTCCTGAACTTAGGAATGGCATTAAGAGGTCATAAAGAATCAACTCATAGAGGCTAACTCACTTCTTATTTGGACTCAGCCGACTCAAAAATTTATGACAGGTTCTTGGACTACAATGCATTTAGAAGTGACTTCCAAATGGCCCTGTTAAAAGCAAACTGATCTCCGATGCAGAATGCAATAGACCATATGAAACGCGGTTGGGATTTATCAGTCGGCTTCCTGAAAATTTGTTCTAGAAATGATCTCTGAGAAAATATCTGCAAGTCCAAATCAGCAACTAAAAACTTACAGGATCAGTAAAAACAGCGCAATAACTCTGAAAATCGTTGCACTGACATGGATTCTTATGAGGAGGAGGGGGAAGGGTCGACCTGTTTTTGATAAAATCGAATATTTTTTGGATATGCCTCAAAACAAAGAAGCCCTAAATTGTCTGAAAACATGTATTATCCCCCCCCTTGCTTAGCTAGAGCTACCAAGAGCTGCACCCTTCAGTCTCTCTTTCACCAGTCAGTCTCGATATTCCATTTACGTCGCTGGCGTGTCTTCGACCCCTCCTGGTAAATATTAATGAGAGAAGGAGAAAAGAAGCAGTATTAAGTCGGTCTGGGTAAGAACACTTCGGATTATTGGTGATTA